AAGGAGACATCTTTGCTCTTCAGCACTTGAAAGAAGTCCTTTGCAGCCGATTTGCCCAGTGCTGTACATTGTCTGATGTCCTGACTGCTGCTTCCACTGGCATCAATTGTAGAACCTAGCAATGTGAAGTCTTTGACAATTTCAATCTTTTCTCCATTTATCATAATGTTGCTTATATGACCCATTGTGAGGATTTTTGTTTTCTTTATATTGAGATATAATCCATACTGCAGACTGTAGTCTTCAATCTTCATCAGTAAGTACTTCAAGTCATCCTCACTTTCAGCAAGCAAAGTTGTGTCGTCAGCATATCACAGGTTGTTAATGATTCTTCCTCCAATCCTAATGCCACGTTCTTCTTCATATAGTCCAGCTTCTCGGATTATTTACTTATCATACAGATTGAATACGTATGGTGAAAGGATACAATCCTGACACACTCCCTTCTTGATTTTAAACCATGTAGTCTTCCGTTTTTCTGTTCAAATGACAGCCTCCTGGTCTATGTACAGGTTCCTCATGAGTACAATTCAGTGTTCTGGAATTCCCATTCTTCTCAATGTTATCCACAATTTGTTATGATCCACACAATCAAATGCTTTTGCATGGTCAATAAAACACAAGTAAACATCTTTCTGGTATTCTTCGCTTTGAGCCAAGATCCATCTGACATCAGCAATGATATCCCTTGTTCCATGTCCTCTTCTGAGTCCAGCCTGTGCCTCTGGAAGTTCTCTGTCAATATACTGCTGCAACCGTTTTTTAATTATCTTCAGTAAGATTTTACTTCCATGTGATATTAATGATATTGTTCAATAAATTCCACATTCTGTGGGATCACCTTTCTTTGGAATGGGTACAAATATGGCTCTCTTACTGTTAGTTGGACAGGTAGCTGTCTTCCAAATCTCTTGGCATAACTGAGTGCGTGCCTTCAGCAGGGTATCCATTTGTTGAAACATCTCAATGGGTGTTCTGTCAATTCCTGGAGCCTTGTTCTTCACCAATTCTTTCAGTGCAGCTTTGACTTCTTCCTTCAGTACCATTGGTTCTTGAATATACGCCACCTCCTGAAATGGATGAAGATTGACTAGTTCTTTTTGATACAGTGACTCTGTGTATCCCTTCCATCTTTTTTTGATGCTTCCTGCATCATTAAATATTTTGCCCATAGAATATTTCAGTATTGCAACTTGAGGCTTAATTTTTTTTCCTCAGTTCTTTCAGCCTGAGAAATTCCAAGTGTGTTCTTCCCTTTTCGTTTTCTAACTCCAGGTCTTTGCACATTTCATTAGAGTAATTAATTTTATCTGCTTGAGATGCTCTTTGAAATCTTCTGTTCAGCTCTTTTATCTTGTCATTTATTACATTTGTTTAGCTACTCTTCCCTCAGGGACAAGTTTCAGAGTCTATTCTGCCATCCATTTTGGTATTTTCTTTCTTTCTTGTATTTTAATGACTTCTTGTTTTCTTCATGGATGATGCTTTTGATGTCATCCCACAATTCTTCTGGTTTTCGGTCATTGGTGTTCAATGCATCAAATCTTTTCTTTAGATGGTCTCTAAATTCAAGAGGGATATATTCAAGGTCATATTTTGGCTCTTGTGGACTTGTTCTAATTGTCTTCGACTTCAAGTTAAACTTGTATATGAACAGTTGATGGTCTGTTCCACGATCAGCTCCTGGCCTTGTTTTGGCTGAAGATATTGAACTTTTCCATTGCCTCTTGCCACAGATGTAGTTAGTCTGATTCCTGTGTACTCCATCTGGCGAAGTCCACGTGTATAGCCGCTGGTTGTGTTGTTGAAAAAGGTATTTGCAATGAACAAATAGTTGGTCTTGCAAAATTCTATCATGGAATCTCCAGCATTATTTCTGTCACTAAGGCCAAATTTTCCAACTACTGGTGATTCTTCTTTGTTTCCAACTTTTGCATTCCAATCACCAGTGGTAAGCAACACATTTTGATTGCACTTTCAGTCAATTTCACACTGAAGTTGATAAAAATCTTCAATTTCCTCATCTTTGGCTAGGTGGTTGGTGTTTAAATTTGAATAATAGTCATATTAACGGGTCTTCCTTGTAGGCGTATGAATATTATCTTATCACTGACAGCACTGTACTTCAGGACAAATCTTGAAACATCCTTTGTGATAATGAATGCCACTCCATTCCTCTTCAATTTGTTATTCCCGGCATACTAGATCATATAGTTGTCTGTTTCAAAATAGCCAAAACCCATGCACATCAGCTCACTAATGCCTAGGATATCAACCTTTATGTGTTCCATTTCATTTTTGACAACCTGCAATTTTCCTAGTTTCATACATTGTACGTGCCATGTTCCTGTTATTAATGGATGTTTACAGCTGTTTCTACTCAACTTGCGTCATGCCACGTCAGCACATGGAGGTCCTGAAAGACTTACTTTATCCATATCATTAAGGTAGGCTCTACTCTGATGAGGCAGCTCTTTCCCAGTCTTATTTTGAGTGCCTTCTAACCCAAGGGGCTTGTCTTCCTGCACTGAGTTGGACAGTGTTTCCAAGCAATTCATAATGTTGGCCAGTAATGTATCAGACAGTGTTTCTCTGATATTCATAAGGTTTTCCCTGGTCAATATTTGATAAGTGGATGGCCTCCTCCTTCTTCCTAGTCTGTCTTAGTCTGTAAGCTGTGACCAAACCTGCACACCATATGCTACTCTGCTAGTGTCTGAAACACCAGTGGCACAGCCTCAAGCCTCACAGCAACGTATAAGCCCCACAGGATGACAAACTGACAGACAAGTTTGTCTCCCTTAGCTATTGGAAACCTCTGCGACCTCCCCTTACCTAATTTCTACCTGGGATGAGCCACTTTGTGGTTCCTGGACGTTCCCTCCCTTTCTTGGCTCAAGGGGGCTTGGGGTATAGCCTTGCCTCCTGCCCCTTTTACCTGGATATCCTGCGGCCCCCTGTTCAGTTTTATGGCCATTCTTATAGCACATACAAATACGTATGTAGAGATATTGTGTGTCAGCCATGTATATGGTAGCGAGTATATTCCCTTTTGCCTAGATATCCCTGATCATTCAGCCTATGCACCTATATATCTTCCCACAGATCCTTTGTTATTACTGATAATGCAGTCCTATATATTGAAAAGTGTTTATCTTTGTTGTCTGTCTGTACCTTGTGCACCTCTGTGTCTTCCTTTTCCTTAGTGTTACTGTGTTGAGCACTTGCTTTTGGAATATTGCCTTTGCTTTCACCCAAATCAATAATTGTCTCTTACCTATATAGCAATTTTGAATTATTTTAATAAAATATTATTATGGACAGAGAATTCTAGGATTTCTATATTTGGATAGCTTCACAAGGAAAATGCAAAATTGCATATCCTGAACATTAAAGCTATTACTGGTTTGAAATTAGTTGAAACCAGATTTTGAAGACATTTATTATGTTAATTATAATGGAATTATTATTCCAAGAATGTAATTTTAGCACCACTAGATTATTTTGATTAGTCGTAATTTTCTTATTGCATAGAATAACAGACAGTGCACCCTGCTCTTTATTGGTTAATTTTAGAGATTTATGTTAAATTTTATTATATTTAATGTAATGTTAAATTGAAGTATTCCTTTAAGAACAGAGATCTAGTTCTGAAGCAGAGTGTTCTTTGGATTAGAGTAAGTGAAGTGATCTATTTGAAAGTGACTAACACATTGCGCTAAATAAGTATCTGTGTCCTTCTTGTCTATAGAGGCCATACCTAGTTACATAAAACAAATTACCTTGTTAGAGGATTATGTATTTCTCAAACCCACCAGCCACTCCTCGGAAGGAAGGTTGGGCAATCCTACTTTCATAGTGATACTGCCTCGGAAACCCAAGGAGGGGTCGCTATGAGTCGGGGCCGACTCAACGGCAAACAACAACAACAACAACAAAGCCCCTTTAAGGAAAGGCGGGACAAAGTTAGTAGAATGGACTTTTATGAGAGAAAACACCACTGGTCAGATTTCACCAGTGCCACATCTGGGTTTTCTTCTTATTCTAGTCATCTTTTGCCACCCTTTTATGGCATCCACGAGCTCTAGTAGCACAGCGCCTAAAGCACTTGACTGTTCAAACCCACCAGCCACTCCTTGGAAGGAAGGTTGGGCAATCTACTTCCATAGTGATAATGCCTCGGAAACCCAAGGAGGGGTCGCTATGAGTCGAATCCCACTGGCAGTGTGTTTGGTTTTGGTTTTGGTTTTATGGCATCCAATCCATTCATTCAGCAGTTTTTAAAATGCACTTATAGTATATGGTAAGGAGCTTTGGTGGAGCAGTACCAAAGGCATTTGACAGCTAACCAGAAGATTAGTGGTTCAAACTCACCAACCGTGGGAAGAAGATGGGGCAATCTACTTCCATAAAGATTCCCTTCCTTGGAAACCCAATGGGGTCACTATGAGTTGTAATTGACTCAATGGCAGTGGGTTTGGTTTTGGTTTTTGGTCTATAGTATATGGTAGATCCGGACTCCTCATCTTAACATAAGATCCTTTATGATTGAGCTCCTGACAGTCTCTCTGGTCTCAATTTTGCTATTCGCCCAGAAAACAAACAGTAAATGCAACATTATTATTATTATTATTATTTTCCCTAAAAGAAAGCAGTATGGTAGAAAGGAAAGAACTGGTAATTAAGTTGAAGAGCGTGGAAGATGATCTATATTGAAGGATTAGACAAAGTGGAAACGGGTCCCGGAGGGAACAACTTGGGTGAAGTCAGGAAGTTACAAAGGAGCAGGAGAATTTGTATCAGTAGACGAGGTTAGTGTGGTTGAAGTTGCGGCCGGAAGAGAATCGGGAACGACTGTTGTTGGGAGCTTCTATTTCTGCCCGGAACCAAGCCCCGTTGGGCCATCTTGGCGCACTTCATGCAGTGCAGATGCCCGGAGGTGGCCCAGCGCGGGAGGCGGGAGGCTGGTGCGGCGGAGGTGGGACGGAGCCCACAGGCGGTCGCACCGGCGCCGCCCCGAGGCGCGTCACGCGCGGCTCTGGCAGCCATGGCGGGAAGCGAGCCATGGCGTGGAGGCAGCTCCACGCCGACGCCCCATAGCGACTGGAGTCGCCTCGAAGCGGCTATCCTCAGCGGCTGGAGAACCTTCTGGCAGTCGGTTGGCAAGGAGAGGGCGGCGCCTGAGACGTCCCGGGAGGAGGCGGATGAGGAGGCCAGTACCCTGACGCGGCTGCCGGTGAGCTTCGGCCTCCGGCAGGGGCGGGCGACCTGGCGGGGGATGTCTGTATCCTTGTCCCTGCAGCCATTACAGGCAGTGTCGTCACCGGGAAGCAATAGTTGACTAGAAGCGCCTTCGCTCAGACCCCCCAGTGCTGTGCACCCACAGCCGTACTGTCGCGGCGAAACTGACCTTCTTGGGGCTCTATGGTGACTAGTCAGACTACTCTCAGATTCCAGTCTCCTAGAAGTGGCACATGGGACTAGGACGCCCTGAACGTCAGGCTAAGAAAATGAGCCAGGTTTTGGTTAGCTTGGAAAAGCACTCCTCGGAAGGAAGATTGGGTAATCTACTTCCATAGAGATAACGCCTCGGAAACCCAAGGAGGGGTCGCATTGAGTCAGATCCGACTCGATGGCAGTGAGTTTTTTTTTTTTTTTTGTGTGTGTGTGTGTTTGGAAGAGCATCCATCTGCTGTGTTCTCAGAATCTTTCATGCCAGGCTATTTACTTCGTATCAAAACACCAAAAACAAACACTCTCTGAGAACTTCGTGTATTCAGACATTCGACTGTTACTGCTGTCATTTTTCGTACATTTGACGTAACAAAACTACCACTTAATAGGAAATTAATGATGTAACAAGTTCCACAGATTTTGACAGGCCACTCGAATTTACCATCAGGCTAACTGCCTGAAAAGTCTAACAATGAATTATCATTCATTTATTTACTTTTCAGGCAGTTGGGAAGATGGTGAGAGAAGAAATTCTGAGAAATTATTAAAATTCTGTATCTCACCTGGACTATTGACACTTCACTCCTGACATCTTACTATTGACATTGAAAACGGAGGTTTAGGATGCCTCCAAGGTCCTCCCCTTTGCAGACGTTCTTTGCAATAATTTAATAGATTATGTACAGGAACTCAGATGACAAACTTCCACTCTTTTGATTTGATCTTGTGATAAAATCAGAAGTTTGCCCACTTGATAAAGTTTTTATTTTGAAGACTAAATGACTTTCTAAGTTATTTATTCAAATAAATGGTCTGAATAAAATATTGATGGTGAGATCTTAAAGGAAATGGTTATTTCACTTGAAAAATCACAGGACAATGGTTGATATTTCAGAAATGTTTCAATGTGTTAGAAATTAAGTGTTCAATTATTTTCTCTTGATAGCAGGAAAGTAACTGCAGAATAATAGATTTAATTATTAAAAAGACCGTTTATTTGACCTTTGCTTGACTGTTAATTTTGGGATTTATCATCAAAAAACGATTTTCCAGGGTATATAATTCATCTCTTTTTCCTACTTGCTTCCTCCTTCTGTTTCAGATTGATGTGCAACTATATATTTTGTCATTTCTTTCACCCCATGATCTATGTCAGTTGGGAAGTACAAATCATTACTGGAATGAAACTGTCCGAGATCCAATTCTTTGGAGATATTTTTTGCTGCGGGATCTTCCTTCTTGGTCTTCTGTTGACTGGAAGTCTCTTCCGGATCTAGAAATCTTAAAAAAACCTATATCTGAAGTCAATGATGGGGCAATTTTTGACTACATGGCAGTGTAAGTATCCACTTTTATGAATTAAAAAAAGATAAGACATTTTACTGTTTTACAAGTCAGTAGACTAAGTCCTGGCACTGCTACTAATTTGTTTCATGGATTTGGGGTCTAAATGTCTTCTTAAAATAATTGTGGGTTCAGTGAAATGTGACTTCCTTCGTATGACCCTTTTAGCTTCAACATGCTGTTTCCCTGTGGTTCCTAGCCAGGTGATTTGAGTAATTAGAGATAACGTTGATGAAAAGAAGAAATTTTCTTACATGCTTTTCTCTGTAGAGCATTTATCATTTTGCTAAATAACAAATACTTTTCTGTATCCTGCTAAACAGAAGGCTGGCAGTTCAAACCCACCAGCCAGTCCTCAAAAGGAAGGTTGGGCAATCTACTTCCATAGTGACACTGCCTCAGAAACCCAAGGAGGGATTGCTATGAGTCAAATCGACTCGACGGCAGTGAGTTTGATTTTGGTTTTTAGTATCCAGAGAAAAATTGGTCAGAGATTAGAGGGCAGTTTTTTCTCAGAGAAGGAAAAATATTCAAGGCTGTAGGAGATAAGATTTTGATATTCTCACAAGTGTTGACATTTTTAAATCTCATAGAGATGAGAGAGAATTAATGTTACTGAGCATCCACAGTGTACTGGGTTCTATGGGAGATGCCTTGTTGTTGTTGTTATGTGCCATCAAGTCGGACCCGACTCATAGCGACCCCTCCTTGGGTTTCCGAGGCAGTATCACTATGGAAGTAGATTGCCCCATCTTCCTTCCAAGAAGTGGCTGGTGGGTTTGAGCCGGATATCCTTGTTTTATGGATGGATAGTTGAGATTCAGACAGACTCCTTATTTGCTTAAGATCAGAGAATGCTTTTGTTTTAGCTAAGAATTGTTTTGCTCTAATAGATTCAGTGGCTGTATATAGTAATTCTTTTCATGTTTTATTTAAGTTATTCAGAGCATTTTCTTATTCAAATCCAGACATTATTGCATCAAGTCTTATGAGACTACTTGATTAAAATGCATGTGATGTTATATATAACAACAAGTGTCAGTGTACCTTCACTTGCTGGGTATTACCTCTTCAGTGCTCCACAGCCAACCACAGTATCAGGTAATCCGATGCTGTGGAGCCAAATCCCCCTACCTGCCCCAGGTTACTAATAATCATAAAAGGTACTGTTTATGAACATATACATTATTTGTAATCCTTATAACCCTGATTATAAGGATTAGAAATACCTGATTGTTCATCCTGCCCACCCATCTATCCACACATAGATCAATGCTTGCCATCACTGACAGCATGGTATTGTACATGCAATAGGGTTCCTCTTTGTTGCCTGTCCCTCCTGTGTACCTCTCTCTGTTTTTTACTTCCTCAGTGCCCCTGTATTGATCACTCACTTTTGGTATACTGCCCTTCCCTTCACCCAAATGAATACTAGTCTGTATCTATCTAGCAGTGTTCCCTCTCCTCCCTCACCATCTCTGGTAACCAATAAAGAAAGCTTGCTTCCATATATAAACCTTTCCTTGACTTTTTACGATAGTGAACTAATACAGTATTTGTCCTGTGATTGGCTTACTTCACTCAGCATAAAGTCCTCCAACTTCATCCATGTTTTGCAGTGTTTTGCAGATTCTGCATTGTTCTTTAGTGTTGCATAGTATTCCTTTGGGTATATGTACCATAGTTTGGTTATCTATTTTTCTGTTGATGATCACTTAAGGGTGTTTCTGTCTCTTTGCTATTGTGAATAGTGCTGCGATGAACATTGTTATGTCGTTAGGTGCCACTGTGTCAACTCTGACACATGTGTAAAACAGAGCGAAACACTGGCTGGTCCTTCGCCAGCCTCATAATCCTTGCTATACCTGAACCTATCTTTCCAGCCACTGTATCAATCCATCTTATTGAGGACCTTCCCCTTTTTCACCCGCTACTTTACCAAGCATGATACCCTTCTCCAGGGAATGGTCCCTTTGGGCAACGTGACCAAAGTAAGTGAGGTGAAGTCAGACCATTCTCGCTTCCAAGGAGCATCATTCTGATGCACTCCTCCAGGACAGATTTGTTTGTTCTGGCAGTCCATAGTATTTTCAGTATTCTTCACCATCACCACAACTCAAAAACATCAACTCTTCTTCCATCTTTCTTATTCATTGCCCAGCTTTCACATGTATATTGTTGTTGTTGTTGTTATGTGCCGTCGAGTCAGACCTGACTCATAGCGACCCCTCCTTGGGTTTCCAAGGCAGTATCACTACGGAAGTAGGATTGCCCAACCTTCCTTCCGAGGAGTGGCTGGTGCGTTTGAACCACCAGCCTTCTGGTTAGCAGTCAAGTGTATATTAGGCGATTGAAAACACCCTGGCTTGGGTTAGGCACACCTTAGTCTTCAAAGGGAGGTCTTTGCTCTCCAGCATTTTAAAGAGGTCTTTTGCAGAATATTTTCTGAGTGCAATATGTTGTCTGATTCCTTGACTGCTGCTTCCACTGGTGTTGATTGTGGAACTAAGTAATATGAAATCTCTGAGAACTTCAATCTTCTCTCCATTTATTGTGATGCTACTTATTGTTCCAGTTGTGTTGAGATGTGCTCCATACTGCAGACTATAGTCTTTAACCTTCATCAGGAAGTGCGTCAAGTCATCTTCACTTTCAACAAGCAAGGTTGTGTCATCTGCATGTTGCAGGTTGTTAATGACTCTTCCTCCAATCCTAATGGTGTGTTCTTCTTCATAGTCCAGCTTCTCAGATTATTTGATTAGCATACAGATTAAATTAGTGTGGTGAAATTAGTGTGGATACAACTCTGATGTACATCCTACCTAATTTTAAGCCATTCAGTATCCCCTTGTTCTGTTTGAACAACATCCTCCTGGTCTCTGTATAGATTCCTCATGAGCACAATTAAGTGTTCTGAAATTCTCATTCTTCTCAATATTACCCATAATGTGTTACGATCAACACAGTCAAATGCATTTTCATAGACAATAAAACACAAGTAAATATCTTTCTAGTATTCTTTGCTTTCAGCCAAGATCCATCAGACATTAGCAATGATATCCCTCATTCCCCCTCCTTTTCTGAATCCAGTTTGCGTTTCTGGAAGTTTCCTCTCAATATATTGCTGTGACAGTTTTTGAATTATCTTCAGCAAAATGTTACTTGTATGTGATATTAATGATATTTTTTGGTAATTTCCACATTCTGTGGGATCACCTTTCTTTGGAATGGGTACAAATATGGATGTCTCCCAGTCAGTTGGCCAGGTAGCTGTCTTCCAAATCTCTTGGCATAACCGAGTGGGTGCCTCCAGCACAACATCTGTTTGTTGAAGCATCTCAGTGGGTATTCCGTCAATTCCTAGAGCCTTGATTTTTTGCCAATTCCTTTGACTTTTTCCTTCACTGCCATTGGTTCTTGATCATATACCACTTCCTGAAATGGGTGAACATTGAACAGCTCTTTCTGGTACAGTGACTGTGTATTCCTTCCATCTTCTTTTGATGTTTTCTATTCAAATATTCTGTTTCAGTATTCTGTCTATAGAATCTTTCACTGTTGCAACTCGAGGCTTGAATTTTGTCTTCGATTCTTTCAGCTTGAGAAATGCCAAGCAAGTTTGTCCCTTTTGGTTTTCTAACTCCAGGTCATTGCATATTTCATTATAGTAATCGGCTTTGCCTTCTTGGATGCTCTTGAAATTTTCTGTTCAGCTCTTTTATCTTGTCATTTTTTCCATTTGTTTTAGCTACTCTCCATTCAAGAGCAAGTTTCAGAGTCTCTCCTGACATCCATTTTGGTCTGTTCTTCCTTTGCTGTCATTTTAATGACCTTTTGCATTCTCCTTCTTTCCTACCTACCTACCTTCCTTCTTTCCTCCCTCCCTCTCTCCCCCCTCCTTCCTTTCTTCTTTTCTTTCTTTCTTGATTTGGGTGAAAGTTTACAGAGCAAATTCACTTCCCATACAGCAGTTCACATATACTTTGTCTCATGACATTGACTACAATTTACCACA